CCCTACAGAGCCCTCCATATTACCGTAGTTCTCTGAATGATTACGTGTCCATGTGCACATGTGCATTTTCTTACTCATACACAACAAACTGCCTTCATAGGCACTACACCTCTACAGGAGGAGCATGCAAAGATGTTTAGCTCTGACAGCCTTTTTCCTCAGCTGCTTTCCCTGCCTTACAGCAGGGCCAGGGCAGCAGCAAGCTGGACTCTCAAGCAAGAGGACCGATTTTGCAAGCTGGGGTGGGGCACTTCCCCTTTTGACTTTTCTCCCTTCTTCCCTCCGTCTGCAGCCTTTCCTCACTTTCACTCTGCCTCCACCCAGCTACATGTGAGTTGCAGCAGATTTATGTAATGGCAGGCTGTTGTGGTTGGCCTGGTGGCCCCTTAGCAATGCTTGTGTCTGTGCTCTCAAATGGTTGAGCTCCTTTTAAGGAAACAAAGCACTGAAGCAGCTCAGAATGAGGATGCTTGCCCCTACTAGTTATTAGCTACTCATGCAGGTTACCGACTCTGAATGCCCATGGCCGGGAGGCAAGACCCCAGGATGTGAAGGCGATGTCAGGTTCCCAGCACTGAGGCTCTGCAGCTACACAGTCTTCTGCTTCAGTAAATAGGGAGGGAGGTAACATCAGTCTCTTGAGGTTTACCACTGGAGGAGAAAAATGCCAAAAAGCTATTTCCTTTTAACTTCTCTTGCCATACTAGTGTCTTTTATCTTAAACAGAGAGTTTCTAACCTCATATAAATCTCATCTGTCTTCTATTGATGTCTAGGATCACCCTGACTTGTTACTTTGGGCATCATCTGACAGTTGTCCAAGATGCCAGTAACAGTGTGAGATGGTTTTTAACCCATCGGTGGCCAGCTATGGCCAGGTAGGGTCAGTTATGGATAAAGGAAGGTACTACTTGCCTTTCTAGGCAAATGCTACCACTGAAGCAAATGGCTTTTTCAGCATGAAATAAGGTCTGACCTACAGCTCCTGAATCATCAGCTTCCTCACACATGGCTTGAATTAGGATACAGTCCCAGGGCAGAAATGCTCCTAAATTGCAAATGTCCACAACATACAGAATATTCAGTACTGATTATCCACAAAAGGTGCACACAGCGTTTAACCCGAAACTTGAATGGAGGTGGTAAGAATCAGCAGAAGATATTTCAAATGTTATATAAACTCTGTTATAGGTTAGCATGGGAAATAGGTCTGCCTGTCCAAAACAGGCTGCAAAGCACGAATTCTTAATGGAATGGAATTTCGGCAGGATGTGTATTTCTAATAACTTTGATCAAAATTTCAAAAGGATATTTAGAAGAGATGCTAAACAGAGTCTCTAGTGTCTTGAAGAGCTGTGCAAAACCTCTTTGCTTGTCTGAAAATGTTCCCTGTGTTTTCCAGAAAAACTAAATATAGAGCAGGTCAATGAGCAGAGTAAAAAAATAAATTAATAAAAAATTACAGGTGCAAGATCAGCCTGAGAAGGAAATTTGTGGTAGAGAGGAGGACAAGGAAGGAAGAAGATATGGTGGACAGAGCAGCTGAAATGAAGTTTTCAGGAGGAAGCTGCTCAACACATAGTGGCATTCTGGGAGTTACAACACTGGAAACACAGCAAGCTCATCAAGGAAATGAGGAGACATAGCAGTGACCAGAACATGCCTTTTAATACGCTTCTGTTTTGCTATTCTGCTTGAGGTTATTACTCGAAACTGTTGATGGCTCTACTTCCACACATAACCTTTTCACACCCACTTATCATTTTTGCATTGGGCAGAAGCAACCCATGTCTTGCATGCTTCTAGGCACAAAAATAAAAACATCCATGAACCTCTGGATATCTTCCGTATGAAATTTGCACTCTCTCTTGTAATTTTAAGTGACTCACTCAAAATCTGAAGAAACCAAATGAAATCTGGCAAGTGAATTGAGTACTTTAACGTCTGAAGTCTGCTACAGCTCCATTCTCAGAGCAGAAGTCTTTCAGATGGCTTTATCAGGTCTATAGCACCATGTTCAAACCATGTTCAAGTCTCAGTCTAGGGTTGGAAGAAGCAAGAAAGGAGATTTCTGAAAACACACAGAGGAGCTAAGGCCTATCTTTCTTTTCTAAAACCAGCTTATTTCTGCTAATCTTTGACCTTTAGAATGTTAAATTGATGAAAAAAAGGAATTAAACTTTTGACTCCAGGCTTAAAGGTTACATGAAGTGTTACTACAAATCTGAGTAAGCAAATGGTCATTTGCACATTTCTGTCTCACAGGCTGATTAAAATTAACAGCAGATTTCTCACCTAATTTTAGTGAGATGAGGTAAATACTTATTCATCTAATAAACCTACAATTTCCATTGTTACCTCTGTGATACTACATGTACAAAAAAAAGTCCTCCAGAGCCTAGTGGCCCTCTTCCATAGATGTCTGACTCAAATGACCTTTCCTCAGTGTGCACGCTGTATGGACAGCTGATCTCTCAGGATGTAACAGACTAAGTGGAATGCACTGCAAATCATATGTTGAAATACAGCAATGTGCAGAGGGGATTCCCTTTTCATGAAAGAAGCAGATTGGACATTAGGAAAGTCATATGGAAACAAACTGTTGCCTGGTCACATCTGCTCGTGTGCACTGCCTGTCAGCTATCATAGGCCACAGTCCATCTCGCAGCTACAAGATACATCTGTAGTATCAGTGGGTCTTTACAACAGTCTCCTGCCTATCTATCATTCTTCAAATTACTTTTGCAGATCATCCTTTTCTACCTAAGTATGGTGATAGATAGAGGTGAAAAACATCTTAGAAACCAGAGCAGACCGTGTTGCATTGAACACAAAGCCTGTCTATGCTGTTATGCCACTGCCTGTAGAAAGACAGTCCCCTTCATCCCTAACACATTTATGGAATCACACAAGTCAAACACCACTTCTAAGGCATTGGTCTATCACTAAAACATTTCCTTCTGATGATGATACAGAATGTGCATAGCAGTTATATGGCTCCTGATAATGTTCGGGGCATGTGTTCAGACTCTTTTTGTAAAAAAGGAAAATTAAAATTTTCCATATATCATTTTCAAAAGGTTAGTTAAAGGCTAGAAAAAGGAGCAGCAGGAGAGGTAAAAGGAGAGGTATGCAGCTTCCCAGAAAGACAAACATTGCAAGTGCTGGAGTTGATACCTACAGTTAAGAACATCCATAAAACAAGAGTACCGTGAATTGTCTTTGCTTGTGTTGACTTATGGTAAATGTCTCGCTATAAGGTGTGACCCTTCAAAACCAAAGAGCTATGAGTAGAGGAAGTGGCTGCAGAAAAAAATGTTTAAGTCAGGATGTGGAAAATCTATTTATTTATTCATTTGTTTATTTATTTTTATTACAGTGGCTTCTAATATGTTCTAATAATAAGAATATATTCTATATTCTTATATTGATATATAATTGAACTGTTGGGAGAATCATTACATCATCAGCAAATATAGATTTCATTTTTGCTTGTTCTGTATGATTGTTTGTGAGATGAAGAAATTCAGTGCAATCAAAAATCCTGTTTATTTGGGTTTGAACAAGAGATTTTTTAAAAAAAAATATTATTTTTTAAATCAAGGCTTAAATATTTTGTGATGTTTAGTTACTGTGGGACAAAGGAGACGTATGTCATTTTACTAAGTTGATAAACAACCAATAAAGGCAAGATTTTGTTCAAAGAACTTTGAACTGAAAAACAAAGCACTAGGTAAGCAATCAGATTATGGAAAAACATTTTTTAAAATTAATTTGTTCATAAGGTATGTCAATATGCATGTAGGAGCAGAATTTGATGTTCACATTTTTGGTAAGAGAGGATCAAGTAGTAAATAAAGTGAAGATGCACAAGGTGCTTCATTCTCTACTAGTTAGTGCTGGAGTCCAGAAGCAGGGTCTATTCCTAATGCTGACACTATTACCTGCTGTATTACCTAGAACTGCTTATTTTCCCTTCTGTGTCTCCCTTTTCACCTACTATCCTTTATTGGACATCCTTAGACAATAAACATTTAAAGGCACTTGCTATCCTTCTGTAAACAGTCTTACATTGAACAGTCATTCTTAAATCAATGAGCAATACTTTTATTTGTGGATAAACAAACATATTCTGATAGTCACTCCTCTCCTGAAATATTTTTGTCATATAGGGCATTGATCACAGCATTCTGGGAGTCATTGTGCTTTTTTATTGTTTATTTTTCTACTAGTAAACGAGCATCATACTCAAGTAATATCATCTAGCCTTCTTTAGTGGTCTACATGTGAGGTGATGTATGCAGTAGTCAGAAGCATCGCTAGTCTTTGGTGTGGAGTATGGGATCCTTAAGAAGAATCAGTATTTTACAAAATCATCTCTGGACAACATCTTATTTTAATTCAACAGTGTTATGTAAAAGTCCAGCTGTGGACTTTTACACAGAAGAACAAAATTCAAGTGTTTCCTAAAGATCTCCTAATTAAAAAAAAACATAAAGGGTAAATAAAGATCAGATATGGGAAGCTGAAACACATGAATGCTGTTCTAATATGTGTATTACATTTCTGAAGAAATCTGAATAGCATATAACATTCAAGATAGCATTCAATTTAATAATAAAAATACCTGAGAGTTTACTGAATTTTTGTAAAATCTGAGTTAAGGTAATTTTGACCTGAAAGCACATATTTCATTCCATTTCCTACACAGAATGAAAACTATCTTTTCTGGGGAGAATTTCATGTAATCTGTCATGCTTTAGAACTAAGATAAATAGTAGGATCTTTATAACTTCTCTGTGGAGGAAAAGGTTTCAAAATGCCTTTTCCAAAGAGAAGACTGCATAAAAAGCACTAAGCACCTGAGTAATCCTCTGCTGAACAAGATGAAAAGGCACAGGAATTACTTGTATACCAGCTTGCTATACAGTACTTTAACATTATTGGCATATTATCTTATAATATGTACTAACATTTCTAAGAGTGAACTAGTAATCTTACCCAAGATTCTCTCATTCTTAGCACTCTGTTGTCCTCCAGTACTGGTTGACAGGTCCTCTGGTACAGGCATAGGCTCATCTACATCATCTGGAACATCACTAATTGGAGGACTTTCCTTTCCTAGTAGTGAAGAAAACAGCACCAGTTAGTCATCAGACTGACCTTCTTTTCAAATAATATTGTAAAAGGATCCACAACCCAAATATAGCTCAAGAAAAAAATCTAAACACTACATGTTTGCACTGGCAGAGGGTCCAACTAGACAATTTCATAAGGTTCCCTCCATCTCCAGCTTCTACAAAGTATTCTTAAGTGGGCAAAATCACACCTGCTGAATGTAAGTGCAAGAGCAAAGGTGGATTGCATAAATGGAAATGAAAGATCATTAATTTTACAACAGAGCAAAGTAAAAGCAGGAAGCAAGTTCATTAAAACAGTGTTTGCCATTCACTGTTTAGCTCCTTAGTTATTCCTGTAGTTTTCTGCATTATTTTTATGGGATGTAAGAAACCTACAGGACTGCCAGCTACTTTCCAATGCAAGTCCCATCCGGCTGAAATATTTCAATTTTTTCAATACTTCCACCCCCAGGGAAACAAAAACCCAGAAGTTTAATCAAAGAGCAAGAGCCATTCTGGTCAGAATCAAGACAACTCTTAACACTACATGTAGGTTAATGAAATCTGTTGAAAAGTAATAGTAATCGAAAGCTGCCTGCATCTTCCAAGTTTCAAAATGTGCTCCCAGTTCTAACAACAGAAGTTGATGATTTGACTTAGTCTAGATTCAGAAGAACACTTACCCTAAAAACATGAAGGTTTTTTTTGGCTACAAACTGATCTAAACACATAATAATAGACCTATGAGACAACAAATAGCAAACAAAATCGATACGTCCCTACTGTGTAGGCATCCTACAAGCAGGCTAAGTAGGATTCTTTGAAGATAAGTCAAAGCAGTCTTCTGGAATAGAATCCTGTTTGTAGATCAGTACTTCTGCAGTTTATGGTGAACTGTTTGGTTCACTAAACAGATATCAATCTTCTACTTATGAAATGAATAGCCATTTGCCCAGGTGGCATGAACCAGACTAGCCTCACAGACTTGGTGGAGCAGAAGCCCAAGATCTGGCATACTCCCCTCTTTGCAGGAGACTGCAGTTAAGAAAACTTAGTAAACTTGGCTTTAATGACTCATTTCACATAATTTGATTTCTTCCTGTTACATATGATCGAGAAATCCCTTCATAAAAAAAGACAGGTTAAAACTGAATTTAAAATGGATATATTTGTTGAGCTCTGTATCTTAGATTCTAGAGCACGATATTTGTATTTCATGCCTTAACTACATCTAAATTGTTACATCATGATAAATTCACTGCTGCATGGTAATCTTACAGATAGGCAATATCACTAACATCCTTTTGCCAATGAATTTAGAAATGGAAAGGGGGTTGGGGAAAAGAGGGAATAGTTTCCCATTTAATTTCTAACAGGTATGTCCAGAACAATAACTGGTAAAAGGGACGGAACTTAAAATTAAAACACCTTGTGGGAAGTACTGGGGTAAATTATAAAAATGTCACAAAGCAGAGCAAAGTACCACCGATTTATTCCGTTCTCATGGAAACATGAAAAGCAAAGATTCAACAATACAATGTAACCTTGGGGCAGAAGGGTGTCTTTTTTGCTTTTTAATTTCTATAAAGAGCTACCTGATGCATCAAACGAAAAAGACAAAGGAGCTGAAGAGCTGAAGTTCTGTTTCTGGCACTGCCACTGATTCATGCTATCCTTGGTTAAGTCATAAAGGGAGATAACATCACCTGCAGTCTTTATCATACATTCCCCTAGCTCATCTTGAAGCTCTGAAAGATGGTCTCAGATTTCCAAACACTGCCATTTTTGTATGAAAATTGTCACAGAAGCGCATAAACCTATCAAAGGTGCCTGGTAAGACCCTAAACTTCTCTCTACCTGAGTTTCCTCATCTCTGCCCTAGCAATACAGTCAAAGACATGAGGAAAGAGGGGGAGGGAACAAAGTGCCCAACTTTTTATGCATTCTTGATTTCTACCAAAGTCCATAGCCCAGTCTTTCTTTAACATCTCCATTCAGTTCTGAGAGCAATTTAGTTCATGCCAGGATGGCATTGCTGGAGCTATGACTGTTACAAAGAAAACCAGGGCAGGATTTCTTACAGAGATCTCATTCTCAGTCCTTTCACACACTAACATTTGGTGTATTTAATACCTGAGGGTTGTTTCTTATGGAAACACTAGAATCACTGGAGATATTATGCAAAAAAAGCAACCTACACATTTTTTTGGATGAAAGTCACAACCCAATTCATGTGCTCTTTTCACTAATAGAGCCTCAAATATCCAGTGATGAGAAAACAGACACTCTGGGGTGGCAGCCAGGCTCTCAGGTGGATACATCAGCCCAGGATACTCTCATTTCCACCTTCCCAAGACCCAGGAAGAACATCAAAGACAAAACTCTTCTTCCTGCTTTTGCAGAGCATGGCACAGCGTGGTCGGTGCTTGGGTATCTTTGTATGTTAGTTAGTTGTGGAAACATTTGTACTGTTTTTTCATGTTCCTTAACTGTTAGGGCCTAGAACTGAGAGAAAAAAAAAAAAAAAGGCAGGAAAAATACTGCTTGTTAAGTGAGATATTATCTGTGTTTTCTGACTCCCTTGCATGGGTGCCGGATACTGTTTGGTTAAATGTATGTCAGCTCTCCCCTCATTTCAGAACTGCAACTGCTTGCCGCATGAAATATCGCTTTCAGGAGAAAAATAAAAAGTGTGAATTCTGCGCTAGTCACACTGTATTTCAGTTCCTTTAGCAGCCAGCCATGCCTGGATTCACAGTGGTGGGAATGGCTGTGTGCATGCAGGGTTTGGCTTCCCCATGCTAGCTTCATACTCCCCTGGCCCAGCTTGCCCCTGCCACACCTGAGTCAGCTACAGCTGCACAAATCTGCACATGGCTGCAAAATACTGCTTTTGAGCTGAGAGGACTGTTTCTAGTGACCTATTTTATTTCTGGGTTAAAAATCTTACTAACAAACCAAGAAATACCCCAAGAAAATTTTATTTTTTAACTATTTTTTTTTAACACCACAAAGTGCACTACTGAACCAAGTCACCTAATTCCATAGGTTCAGAGAGTAAACTACACTTAAAAAGCATTACTCACAGAGCAGGAGAAAGAAACAAGTTTCAGATGAAACTGCAATTCTCTGACTAGTTCCCAACATATAATAAAGCTCCCTCATCATGCAAGGAAGCACCCTAGAAACACATAGAACTGCAAGAGGAGGAGAAGACGGGGGAAAACTCCTTTGTAGATTCAGCAGCCTATGAGAAAGAAGTAACATCCCTGTACCTTCAGATCGTTTACTTTTAAGGGCTAGTAAGAGTTTACAAAGACCCAGTATCTGTGGAACTTAATCTGAAAACTCTTGTTTCCATAAGGCTGAGTTCACACACAACTCTGACCATAAATGAAAGTAAATTAGCAAGTTCTTTCTTTGGACATTGTTCACATATACAGCTAGCAACCCAGCACAACTCACAGCCTTTGCTCACAGAAAGTACGAGATGCTCAGTGACAGGAACAGCAAGAAGTCAAAGCCAGTTATTTGGTTGTGTGTTTTTTGTTGTTTGGGTTTGTTTTTTGTTTGTTTCTTTTTTTTCTTTCCTTTTTTTTTTTTTTTGGTTGGTTGGCTTTTGGTTTTTGTTGGTTTTTTTTTTTTTCTGTAATCTGTTTATGTGGGTCTACCTCTTAGCAGAGTTGAAATTCCTCTTACATTGATTTTTTTTTTTTTTCTTTAAGAGAACCTTCTCTTATCACAGAGGAGTATTATTTTCATTAGCATAATTTGCTAGAATAGCAAAGGGGCACAGGAAAGTACTACAGTGGTTCAAATCTTGGAAAACTTTGAAAGCTAAAAATTATATACATATATTATGTATATATTTACATATACACAAATATTCAAAATGGCAAACTTTCGTGCAAATCTTCCCTCTCAAGGGGAGAGGCAAACCATGAGGAAGGCAAAGTGTGTCTTCTAATCTGCTACTTGACTCAAGGCAACATCTCCCACAGTGCCCCTCCTAATAGCAAAAATTAAAAAAAAGCAGTGCTCTGGTTAGAGGTACCAGGTGTGGGGTTCAAGTTAATGCCGTTGTAAAGAATACCACAAAGTTAAGTGCAGGTATCCAGGGGAGCTTGTGGTGCTGTAGAGGAAGAGGGGGTCAGGGCTCTGGCGCCCAGGAGCTCATGCAAGCAGGAAAGGGTTTCTGCAGCAGGCAAGGGAGCTGGGCTTGAATCACAGCACCTCTCACTGCTCTGAGCAGGTCCACAGTGCTTTGTCCACAGAAAGGAATAAAACCCCACTGCTTCTTCTGCTAGCAACACACATGCTCCAAGTACAGCATACATAGAACAGATTTTATTTAATTTACAAGTTGTTCCATCATGTGACAAAACTTTGATGTGTAAGTATATCCAGTTACAGTGGTAAAATTGGTACCTGAGGAGGTGAATGCAACTTACCTCCAAAGGGCTGACTAGAAACAACTTCTCTATACTAAACGTAAGTTATAATCCTCTGTTGGCATGAAGGATTGTTAAATTGTTGTTCTTTAAGACACAAAATGTCTTTAATGTTCAAATTTCAGATGATACTAAAAGCTCTGGGTTCCCATTTTTGAGAAAACTCCTTAACATTTTTAGGAAGAAGGGAGAGGTGGGGAAAAAAAAAAAAAAAAAAAAAAGAAGAAAATTATGTTCCTATATTTTAGGAAACCCCAGTGACCTAGCCAGCCACACTGTACCCAAACCTTCGTGATCTTCTGCAGCTGGCCATGCCCAAGAGCTGCCTCTTAAGAGAGAGCCACACAGGTGGGTACCCAGAGCAGCCTCAGTGATGGGGCTGTCCTGCTCCAGGCTGAAAACCTAAAGTGAAAACTGAAAGCCATTAACTGTTGCAGATGCCAACATACCAGTGAAACTAGGAAAGAGACTAACTTGTCCTTTTTCAACTAAAGAGGCGCAGTGGTATGAATATGTATTGTCTTGCTAAGCCAGATTTTAAGGAACTGATTTCCAAAGAACATGAGAATAAACCCCCCCATACAAATATCAATATGGGGTAAAGTGGCAAAATCCTATCCATTCCACTACAGTGCAAATTTTAGAAAACTACCTTCTCTATTGGCTGAATAAATACGTGAAATATTATCACCTCAGACAAAAACAGTTAGAAGTGCAAAGCCTCGTGTCAGTCAGCCCCTTTTTTTTTTTTTTTTTTTTTTTTTTTTTTTTTAATGTTTGCAAGTAAAACAGAATGGTCTGGAAAACATCAAATAACCCTATGTGGTAAATACAGTTTGTTTGCTTTTAATTAGTATTTGACCCCTCCCACCTGGTGAACTTTGTTCTATATTTATTTTGTAACAATCAGAATTTTGCTCCCAGAAGAAAGAATGTAAATGTGCACCTGACTATGCTTCAGGGTTATGCTACCACAGGTCTAATGCAAAATCACAATGATGCTTTTATATTCCCTTGACTTCTTTATTTACTCAGTTCCTTTTAAAAAAATCCATGCACTGTTTGGCTTGATATCCAAGTGATATAATTAATTATATATCAATTCCCACTCTGGTTTTAAAAAAGACCCAAAGCAATTTTATTGACAAGAAAAACATTGTACTGTGCTAGAAAGATGAGCAGGAATTTAGGATTTTCTTTGTAGAAGTATTTGTTAAGGACCTCACCTGAAACCTGGGACATGTCTTGAGCCTCATCTGTTTCCAT